TGTGCGCCCTGTTGGTGCTCGCCCTGTGCTGCTGCCCGTCCGTGTGCGCGGGAGACACTCAGTCTCAAGCTGCCGCTTCTTCCCAGACGACCACGGCGACCACACCCCCGGCATCAGTCCCCGAGGAGAAGTCCAAACCCAAATCTAATGTTGTTGTCGTTCCACCGCCTTCACTACCAGATCCATCACACCGGGAGGCCGGTTCGACAGGGTCGTCAAGTTTGGGGTCCGTGGCAAAGCCGGGAAATGATGGCGGAGAGGGACCAGGATCTACCAGTACGGGAACGAAACCAAATGAGGTGTCCAATACGTTACAGGCAGATGGTAATAAGGGTACTACAGGGTTACCCAGTGAAAAGAGACTATCCGAGGATCGGGCAAATAGGGAGTCTGAAGATTCTACCGAGGAGACCACTACCACCACAACAAAGGCACCAACCACGACGACGACCACTGCGCCAGAGGCACCAACCACGACAACCACCACTGCGCCAGAGGCACCAAGTACTACGACTACAGAGGCGCCAGCTGTGTCGACCACCCGCGCACCGTCACGTCTTCGCGAAATGGACGGCAGCCTCAGCAGCACTGCGTGGGTGTGTGCCCCGCTGGTGCTTGCCGTATCCGCGCTGGCGTACACCACTCTGGGCTGAAGAGGCGTGTGCGGGCTGTGCGTGCCAGCACTCAACCGCGGGGATTTGTGCGTGTGTGTTGTGGTTCACTGTATAAAATAAGAGAAAATAATGATTGTGTTTTGCTTCACTTGCTTCTGCTGCCGTGCTGTGTGCTCCGCGTTGTGCCCCGCATCCGTCACGTTGAACGCATCGCGGACACACTCATAAGCATGCGCACTGGAGCCCTGGGTTTGTTTTTCTTTTCTTTTTAATTTCTGTTTTTAATTATTGTTTTATTGCTTTTTAAACTTCTGGTTTGCGGGGCGGTGTGCGAGCTCTGCAATCGTACTGATTCCATCTGTCTTGTGGTGTGTGCGCTGCTGCTGCTGGGGTGCTGCCATTTGTTGCTGTGCGGTGGCTGTGCGTGGTTTAGCGGCTGTGTCTCTCTCTTTGTTTTCACATGCTATCGCAGGTTGGCTCCGCAGCGTTAGGCGACTCCACTGTTCGTGATGATGACTGGCCGTGTGCTCTGCGTCCTGTTGGCTCCTGCAGTGATGCGCAGCTGCTCGTGCGTGTGAGTGACGGCTGCTGCGACGGGGTGCGTGTGCGGCCGCGGGTGATGGCGCGGTGACTGCTGGGCACGCGGAAGCTGTGATGGCTGCGGAAGGTGGACCCGTGGCCGGTGG